GAAGAGTCTGGGGACTCCCCCTCCTCCTCCTCCTGCCTGACATTCAGACGAGGTGGCGGTGAGGATGAGGAGGAGACGATGAGGAGGAAGAGTCTGGGGACTCCCCCTCCTCCTCCTCCTGCCTGACATTCAGACGAGGTGGCGGTGAGGATGAGGAGGAGACGATGAGGAGGAAGAGTCTGGGGACTCCCCCTCCTCCTCCTCCTCCTCCTCCTGCCTGACATTCAGACGAGGTGGCCGTGAGGATGAGGAGGAGACGATGAGGAGGAAGAGTCTGGGGACTCCTCAGGCAAATGAAAACCTGATAACATTTCTCCTGAACACTCGAGGCCCGACCACATCCTGTTGCTGAACAATTTAATCACTGAGGAGTGGTTCTGGTTCTGGTTCTGAAGGCGGTTTGAAGGACCCAGAACATGGCAGAGCTGCCCTCCTTTCCTGTGTTCTGATTCTGTCAGAACGTCTCGGGTCGGATCAGGAGCCCAGGCTTACTGAACAGAACTTCAGTTTCATTTTTTCAGAACTTCTCCTTCCTGTATTTCAGCCTGAGGTCTTCTGTCTCTAAGGACCACTTCGATCCTCCTGCTGTTCTTGGGTCAAACAGGTCCAGGAGGGTTTAGACTCAGGTCTCAAGGGGTCAGGAAACAGGGCTAAGATTCTTCAGCTGGTCTTTCTTTACTAAATCAGCTTCAGGTTCAGCTTCCTGCTGTGCAGCTCAGGGTTTCAGGTTCAGAAAGGAAGGACAGGTTTCATCTGAAATGTCAGCTCACCTTCGGCCGTCTGAAAGAACCATGTGAAGAACCATCTGAAAGAACCATGTAAAAGAATCATCTGAAAGAATCATCTGAAGGAATCATTTGAAAGAACCATGTAAAAGAATCATCTGAAAGAATCATCTGAAAGAATCATCTGAAGGAATCATTTGAAAGAACCATGTAAAAGAATCATCTGAAAGAATCATCTGAAAGAATCATCTGAAGGAATCATTTGAAAGAACCATGTAAAAGAATCATCTGAAAGAATCATCTGAAAGAATCATCTGAAGGAATCATTTGAAAGAACCATGTAAAAGAATCATCTGAAAGAATCATCTGAAAGAATCATCTGAAGGAATCATTTGAAAGAACCATGTAAAAGAATCATCTGAAAGAATCATCTGAAAGAATCATCTGAAGGAATCATTTGAAAGAACCATGTAAAAGAATCATCTGAAAGAATCATCTGAAAGAATCATCTGAAAGAACCATTTGAAAGAACCATGTAAAAGAATCATCTGAAAGAATCATCTGAAAGAATC